GAGAATAAGACGGAGAATATCTTATTGCCCTTATATATGAATACTGCATACAGATGTGGTCTCCTCATCTCAAAAAAAGTTATACTGGCATTAGAAAAAGTTCAGAAAAGGGCAACTAAAATGATTATGGGTTTGGAATGGGTCCCATATGAGGAGAGATTAAAGAGGCTAGGACTTTTCAGCTTGGAAAAGAGGAGACTAAGGGGAGATATGATAGAGGTATATAAAATCATGAGTGGTGTGGAGAAAGTGAATAAGGAAAAGTTATTTACTTGTTCCCATAATATAAGAACTAGGGGCCACCAAATGAAATTAATGGGCAGCAGGTTTAAAACAAATAAAAGGAAGTTCTTCTTCACACAGCACACAGTCAACCTGTGGAACTCCTTGCCTGAGGAGGTTGTGAAGGCTAGGACTATAACAGGGTTTAAAAGAGAACTAGATAAATTCATGGAGGTTAAGTCCATTAATGGCTATTAGCTAGGATGGGTAAGGAATGGTGTCCCTAGCCTCTGTTTGACAGAGGGTGGAGATGGATGGCAGGAGAGAGATCACTTGATCAATACCTGTTAGGTTCACTCCCTCTGGGGCACCTGGCATTGGCCACTGTCAGTAGACAGGATACTGGGCTGGATGGACCTTTGGTCTGACCCAGTATGGCTGTTCTTATGTTAACTCAGACAAATCTACCCTTTGTCCAGTTCAGAGGATAGGATTTATAGAAGTAGTATTGGACTCTACTCAAGCCAGAGCTTTCCTTCCAAACTCGAGGTTCCAGACAATTTGATCTCTTGTTGCAGATCTCAAGGCTCACCCAAACACAACAGCTTGAAATTGTAGGAGGCTTTTGGGGCATATGGCCTCATGCACATAGGTATTCCAGACTGCTTATTAGCTGAGCTGTCACCATCTGAACTTTGTCTTCAGTGTGCCATCTTGAGTATTGATTTCTCTAGATTGGTGGACAGACTCACTTAATGTTTGTATGGGCATTCCTTTTGTCTGCCCTCAATCTTTCCTGACCTTGGTGATGAACTCATCTGCCTTGGGATGGGGGGAAGGGTGTTCATCTGAGTCCCCTCCAAACTTAGGGTCAGGGCCGGCTCCAGGCACCAGCTTACCAAGCAGGTGCTTGGGGCGGCCACTTCGGAGAGGGGCGGCACATCCAGTTGTTCGGCGGCAATTCGGCGGACGGTCCCTCACTCCTGCTCGAAGCGAAGGACCTCCCGCCGAATTGCTGCCGCAGATCGCGATAGCGGCTTTTTTTGTTTGTTTGTTTGGCTGCTTGGGGCGGCCAAAACCCTGGAGCCGGCCCTGCTTAGGGTTTGTGGTCCTCAAGGGATCTCTCTCTACATATAAACATCAGAGAACTAAGGGTCGTCTTCCTAGCCTGTGAGGCCTTCCTATCTCCTGTCAGGGGAAACGCCTATTTGTTCTCACAGACAACACTGTGACAGTGTTTTACCTGAAGCTTTACAAGAAGCTTCTCTGCACAGGCATGGACTTGCTGACACTGGTTTGCAGTCTCCAGTACAGAGTGCACAGGTGTGTGCACATACTGTGGTGGGACAGTTCCTCTACAGGTAAGTAATCCCTCCTTTATCTTACTGTACAAATAAGTAACCTCTCCTTTCAGCCTCAGATATGGAGGAAGGATAAAATTTTCAAAAACACATACATGATTTAGGAGCCTATTGACTTTCAATAAGACTTAGGCCCTAAGTGACTGGTATGTCTGAAAAACATTACCTGTAGTACTTGTGGCGTTCTTCATCAACCCTTAAGTGAAGGAGTGACATTCAGTTCTGAACCGAACTCTTCTAGACTTTTGAGGGAAGGAGAATGACTTCTACTATATAATCTGTTGTTGTAGCTGTGTCGGTCCCATAGACACACAAGGTGGGTGAGATAATATCTGACCTGAAGAAGAGCTCGGTCTAAGTTCAAAAGATTGTCTCTCTCTCTCTCTCTCTCTCTACAACAGAAATTGGGTCAAATAAAAGATGTTACCTCACCCACCGTGTTTCTACTATATCAGACTTTTTTGAGGGAAAGGGAAAATGAAGTAGAAAATAAAATGCTGTAATCTCACAAAATTCTCTTCCTCCCCACATCCATTAAGCATTTAAAATGAAATGAAGAGCAATTGCTTTGGGTATTATGAAGTAAAAATATTTGAATACTAAGGGTTATATTCTGGCTGCCTGTTTGTGGATGTGCTAGAGGACTGAGCTAGAGCATCGACTTTAATTGGGCCATGATTTCACTCAGGGAGTCTCCTACCCCCTGTACACCCACAGAAGGCCAGAATATGAATCTTTCGGTGCTATGGTGTTGGACTGTCAATATGCCTAGTGATAAGGGTGTGTGGCCAGCCAGCTTGGGGTACAGTGAGGGTCCTGTTCCCCTAAATCCCTGCTAGTGCCCAGGGGGGGTGGAGTTGTTTTTTGCACTTCAACAAACTACCTTCATCTGCATAGGAATTAGCATTTGAAAACAAGTTGTTTTTCACATTTGATTTGTAATTCTCCAGTTTTACAAGATTTCACTTTGAGATTTCTAAGTTGTTATTAATAATATAAGTAAGGGTGAAAATGATGTGTTTGTTCTTTTAAGTTGCCAGTGGCCCTCTAATGCTTGTTTCTGTATTTTTGAATGTATATATAGTAATACATAATTTATGTAATTACTGTGGCAAATTCTTATTTTTGTTTATTATTATTTATTTATTTATTTATTTATTTATGACCAAATCACTTCTGAGGACATAACAGATCACCTCTAAATGAATTTGTAGGAATAAAGGCCTACATTAGATTTGGGTGAACTATGTTTTTAAATTGAGTTGGGATATTAGCATGAACAATAGACCCCAAGCATGGAACCAGAAAGAATGAAATCATGAGAAAGAAGACTTGAGATGGAGTTGTTTTTTGCACCTCTCTATAGCAAATGCAGGGAATACTATGTAGAATTTCTAAATACATACTGTGACGTTGCACGCCATATTGTTTATGGAAATATGCTTATGTTGTGGATATGATATAACTGAGATCTACTTTATGGAAGATGGGTCTTGCATAAAGTTGTGTTAAATTTGTGGTGACCCTTCAAAATACTAGCGTTATTTAAGGTTTGGGCTAAAGTAATAGAATTAAAACATGGTTAGCTGGGTACCAGGTGCAGTAAACTACTGCTATATAAGAAACTCCTTCATCTGGCCTTAGGTATGTTCTGAGAATTGTTAATGGCATTACTTGTTTGTTAAAGGGTATAAAAAAGTAAACTCTTAAAGATTTCATTGCTAATACTGGCCTGACCAAGTTGGAGCTGACCAATAGTAGTCTAGGCACCCCTGGTTTAGCCTGTTTGTACATATCTTGATCAAATGCTTATAAATGTTCTGTTACTGTTTGGATATAGTAAATTGGTTATTATTTAGGCTTTTTAGTCATGTTTAGAGCAATTGTATAAATACCATTCAGCCTTTGGATTTAATAAGGAATTTATAGTTAAATTAGTGTTGTGGTGATACCCTGCATAAATAATAATAATTTCAACAGGATTCCAATACATCTATGGTAATGAATAATTGGTAAGATCAGTTCCTTTCTCTTAGAGGAAGCATGGTTTAGTGGTTGAAGCACATGATTGGGACTTGACCGTCAGAAGAGATGGATTTTGTATTCCAGCTGTGCCACAGATTTAGTTTGTGATCTTGGGTGTGTCACTTAGGTTCCAATTCTCTGGACAAATAGAATGTGATTTCAAAGGTGTTGAGCACCCAGAGTTCCCTCTTATTTTAACTGGAGTGTTTGTGTGCTCACAATCTCTGAAAATCAGGCCTTAGGTATCCAGAATTGGGCACCCAAAAACTGAGACATCCAAATCAAAGGCTACTTTAAAAAATGTGGACCTTAATTTCTGTATGCCATAGTTGCATAGGTAATAATAGTTCTCAAAAGATTCCAGTCCTAATCTTTTTGAGAATTACTGGGTTAGGTACTTTAGGATTTTTTCCTCAACACTTTGCTTCAGCAGTGCTGAGTGTTTGCAGTGCTTCAGAACCTGTCATTTGGTTCTTTGATGTTGTGCTTCAGCTCCTTGGTGTCTATATTAAGGTGCTTCTTTATTTTTGTTTGCAAATTCACTGTTCTTCTTCGAGTGATTGCTCCTGTGTATTCCACAGTAGGTGTGCGTGCTCGCCACGTGCACCGGTGCCGGAAGTTTTTCCCTTAGCAGCATCCGTAGCGGGGGAGTCGGATCTCACGCTCCCTCTTTGTTCGGGGCTTGAAGAAGCAGCAAATTTTACACTTCTCACTAATGTGGGCCTCGCCCAGACAGCGAAGACACTGAGTTTGTGGATCGCTTCTGGGCATAGGATTGGGACAAGAGTTGCATGACTTGAAGCCTGGGCCACGGGGCATGCCCCAAGCCCAGCAGTAACAGAGAAAAGTTCAACAAGTAACTTCAGGGAAAGCTGGATACTACTAAGGCTACAATTGCTGCAGCAAAGCTGGAGCACAAGTTCTGACTACCTTCACTGGCGGCAAGAAGGAACTGAGGGTGGGGGGAGCACGCGATGTGTCGGCACCCCTTTATAGCGCGATGTGTCGGCACCACTCTAGGGGTTGCAGCGGTGCTCCCCCAATACGGATGCTGCTAAGGGAAAAACTTCCGGCACCGGTGCACGTGGCGAGCACGCACACCTACTGTGGAATAGACAGGAGCAACACATCTCGAAGAACGCCAGTTACGGAACAGGTAACTGTCCTTTTTCTCGGCAGCTCTGGACTTCTGATCTTTGAAGATCTTGGTTTTGAAATATCTTTATGTTGTCTTTCAAGATGCCATCCATCTCTTCAACTCCTCTACTCACAGGAGTGTTAGGAAGCTTAATTCATTCATGTCTGTAAATCATTTTAAAACCCTCACATGGAAGGTGCGGGAGAAATAGAAGTTAGTAGTAGTAGTTGAATTAATTGTATTTGTGCTTATAGAATCAGGAGACAAACCTCCACTTGAAACAGAAGTAATACCTCAGGTACAACCTGACCGCACCAAAGGGGTTGTGGAACCTAAACCTGAACCAGGTTAGACATGAAATCTTTCCTGTTTTCTCTTTCAAGCAAATATAATCCAGCTTTCTTTCCTTTGTATAATATGTTCCTTCCAACACTGGTATATTCTATTTGATGCATGACAATTTCCTTAAGCTGCCAAAAATTGTTTGTAGATGAATGCATCAGTCTTTTTAATTACATGTACATTTTTTTTGTTTTGCAGAAATGTAATGAAAAATGTCATGGTTTCAAATATGTATGCTATGTAATTAAAGAACCCCATGCAAATTTAATTAATTGGATCTCGTTCTGTCTCCTTGTCTATTTTGAGAAGTATCAATATACAGCAACCCAATGTAATGAACTTGGCACTGCAAAATGTGCTTCTAAAACAACAATAAAAGAAATTTGTGCTTAAAAGAGTAAATCATGTAAAGAGGCAGAATATGTCAAAACTGCCACATAGATTTAAGGGAAGTTAAAATTATTTTTATAAAGTATGATAGGATAACTTTTTAAATGCAAAATCTTTAAAGATGCATTTTCTTCTCAAAATCATTTTGATTTGCTCAGAAATCATGTTACCTGAGTTTCCAGAGGATGGTTTCCCAGATGTACCAGAAATAGAGCCATTTAAAGAGAAGATTAAGCTATTCATGCACGACTGGCAAATACTAGAGCCAGGAATCAGTGATTCATCTTTAATTCAGACTGCTGTTTTAGAGATTGCTGAGCAAACTCCAGAAACACTGCTTAATCAAATTGTCCTGGTGATGGAAAGTAAGTAATGCTGTTCATAAGTTTCACATTTGACCTGCATAGTGAGGAAGTTATAGTGTGAAAATGAGAGGGGTTTGTTGTTGTTTTACTTAGTCCTAAATCTGTGTTGTGGAGTGGAAGGAAGGGCTTATTGTGTTCAATGGAGGAACTGGGAATTAGAAGGGGGATAGCAAGCAGGTTAAGCACCAAGACACATGGGAAGAGGTGAACAATTTATATAAAAGAAATAATGAAAATGTGTACATAACAGCTTCTTAAACATTTTCCTTTTACATCCCTTGCCCACCATTTTTGCTTTGGCTATTTATGCCAGAATACTGCAACAGGACACACACAGCTGTCCTGTGTGTGCACACATGTCCTGTGTGACACACCTCATATAAGGGTCCACTTGTGTGTAAATTCTATTAAAGTCAATAGGGCTCTGAATGAATGTAAGGGTCCATCCATCTGCAGTAAACATTTAGTAACAGGACCATTTCTTCTCTGTGTGCGCTGAGGTGTCTAGCGCATTTATGAGTGCTAGATAAATAATAATAATAAACCTCTGATATAAATCTGGTTCAAGTGTTTGATTAACCCACATCAATTACAAATTCATTTATTCTGACAGATAAAATTTGACTGATCCTTGTTTCTTGTTAATTTTCCCAAAATTAAACATAAAAATAGTTATTACAAACAGTAATGCAGTTCTCTTCAGTTTTACTTCTAATCCCTGTGTAATAGCAAGTTCCTGTTAAAAATACTATTGCATCTTTATTTACAATACAAACAAGAGGACGTTCATTTTGTCAAGAAAACAATATGTACTCTGAGTACGAGATGTGTTATGTGTTTTCAAGGACAAAAAAAATGGAAAAACATACCTGGCATGATTTATTTGTGGCCTTGCATGTTTTGTATACTTTCAGGGGGCACAGAAATAAAAACATAAGTATGACTTGAACACTTTTTTTCACAATAATTGAAATGAAAAAATGGTAACTTTTTCAGAACCTTTTAAATATTATGGTTGGGAAATATCTGCAGAAGATCTAGATGAAGAAGCAGACGATTTGCAGGCAGAAGGGGAGGCTGATGAAGAATTAGAAGAGGAAGAGCAAGAAGAAAATGATGAAGTGAGCAATATTGGCTTCGTTAGTTTATCATTTTACTTTGACTCATTATGGGTTTGCGTTTAACCTCAGACAAAGCAGATTTATTAAGCTGTGTGCCTAAATATTTTTGATCCAAATTCATCATTCCCATAAAAACATCCACAGAATGTGTACACTCATAAATTGCCTAAGCAATTTCATTGTACTCCTGTATTCTGACTGGCAATGGTGTTATTCCAACAGAGAGAAAAATATTCTGTGCTTGTAAGGAGAGTGTGCATAGCCAGTATTGCCAAATGATGGGGTGGGTGCATACCAGCATGCAGATCCACCATCAGTCCTAATTTCTGAATGACTTTCTGTAGCTGCTTTTGTGGTGGACCTGTATATTTTGCATAAGCTAGAAGTTGTGGGAAATTCTGCCTTCTGTCTGATCAGCTCTTGAAGACATGAAATGCTATGTGAGTGCTAAGTATAAGTATGATTCCTTTTCCCTGTATTATTCCAATGCTATATAGCAACCAGTCATATTCTGCTAATTATATAGGGGAGTGCCTGCCTTACTGTTTATTTATGTTTTCAGAGCCACCAACTATTTTATAAGATATTTTGGCAGTATTGTTAAGGGCCACATTTAAAGTAGTTTATTTCTGTTGCCCCTTTTGGCCTAAGAGGTTAGCCAGTTTTCAGAGCCTTGCCATTTTTGTGTTTGTTAGGAGGAGAAATTGATGGTGTAAGTCAGGTATTTCTTTGGTGCAATCCTGTTTATTTACAGAGAATGTATAGGAAGTCCTGTTTCCCTGAACACAGTAGAAACAACAACTGTAGGGTTACCATATTTCAACAATCAAAAAAGAGGATGGGAGGAGCCCCGCCCTAGCCCCGCCCCCGTCCTGCCCTAGCCCCGCCCCTGCCCCTTCCACTCCCTCCCACTTCCCGCCCTCCTCAGAACCCCCAACCCTCCCCCCCACTCCTTCTCCCCTGACTGCCCCCTCCTGGGACCCCTGCCCCTAACTGCCCCCCAGGACTCCACCCCCTACCTAAGCCTCCCTGCTCCTTGTCCCCTGACTGCCCCCTCCTGAGACCTTCCCCCCATCCTAACTGGCCCCCTAGGACCCTACCCCCTACCTGTCCCCTGACTGCCCCAACCCTTATCCACACCCCCACCCCCAGACAGACACCAGGGACTCCCACGCCCCATCCAACCACTCCCCACCCCCTGACAGCCCCACCCCAGAACTCCCGACCCATCTAAACCCCTCTGCTCCCTGTCCCCTGACTGCCCCCTCCTGGGACCCCTGCTCCTAACTGCCCTCCAGAACCCCACCCCCTACCTAAGCCTCCCTGTTCCTTGTCCCCTAACTGCCCCCTCCTGAGATCCCCCACCCTAAATGCCCCCCAGGACCCTACCCCCTACCTGTACCCTGACTGCCCAAAACCTTACACCCCCCAACCCCCAGACAGCCCCCCCCCGAACTCCCGACCCATCCAACCCTGCTCCCTGTCTCTTGACTGCCCTCTCCAGAACCTCCCTGCCCCTTCTCCGGCCCCCTTACCGTGCTGCTCAGAACAGAGTGCTGCAGAGCAGCGCGCTCGGCAGCAGGGGAGGGGGGAACAGGGGGAGGAGCTCCAGACTGCCGGAGGCCCGATGTGAACGGCCGGCCGGCGATCTGTGAATGCAGGGAGGGGGAGGGAGAGAGCGAGAGGAGGGGAGTGATTTCAAGCTGCAGGGAAGAGGCGGGGGAAGCGGAGGAGGGGCTCTGGCTCTCGGAGCCCCATGCAAGTGGCACGATCTGGCCAGCTGCCCTGTCAGCCACGTGCTGTCTGCATTGGGGGGAAATCCGGACATTTAGGAATTCCCCCCGGACGCTATTTTTAACTCAAAAAAGCCGGACATGTCCGGCAGAATCCGGACGAATGGTAACCCTAAACAACTGGCAAGTTTCCTTGCTTACAATTTTCAGGCCTGCCTTCCCGAGTAGTCCGCCGCCCCACAGAGCATTGTCTCTCGGCTCCCTCTTAAGGCTATATTCACAACTGCTTCTCCCACTGTCTGTAGTTCTTCTTCTCTGACACACATTTAGCTTGCAAAAACAATACCTTAGTCTCTACATTTGCAATTAGTCCCAGGGAAACCCCTCGGAGCACACAGTTTCTCTGCTCAGGCTTTGCCATATGGCCCAGTGTCTTGTGCAGTAGCCTCCTAGTTTCCAGCTGTCACCACATAAAGGGGCATTTAATTGCTCCTTCTTTCCATTTAGCCTGAAAAAAGGGTGCATAGCATACCCATCAGATTTAGTTAGATTGTCTATAGGTCAAAGATCTGCTTCATTAATACCTTCCAGCATAACATTACCTTGCCCTCACAAATTTGTACATGTATATATTACATGTGCATTCACATAGTTACTCATAATTCCACATATATTCAAGTAGATAAGCAATTACCTGAATTGAGTATACAAATTGGTACATATGCAAAATTTGCACACACAAATTTGGAGATTGTTTGGGAGCTAGTTTTTAAATTTAGCAGTAAGTATTTAGAGTACCCTGTATTCAAACATTTGTAATTAGGAATGAGTGTAAGATGTAAAGTTTGGATTGGATCTGGATTTCAAATGCCCTAGAGTTCAAGGGAGTGTTTAAATCTCGGGCTTTGCTTCATCATCATCTCTGAAAGTAATGTACTATAATGCACTTGAAATGGGAAGTATGTGTTCAAAATATTTTATATATAATGTTTTTCTACTTGATCCAAAGACTTCTTGACAGTTTTCTCTAAAACCATTGTGTATTTCCAGGATGAAGATAAAATTAATGAAAAGAAGAGACACATGGGAGACACCAAACACTTTTGTCCAGTGAGTCTGAAGGAGAACTTTGTCCTTTTCCCAGGGATTGCTGAACATGGAGCTATATATCGAGAAAAATTTTACTATTTTTCAAGTCCTGAGTCCAGAGAAAAGTTTTTGGAGAACCCTGAGGAGTATGTTGCTCACAAGGAACCATTACAAGTGAGAAAAATTTAGAACTATTTAAAATAGATTGCTAATAAGGGGTTGATATTACACATCATTTTCCATCCTCCATTACAATTATTTTTGTTGTTCTTATTTTTGTGTTGCTACAAGTGTGCTAGGCACTTCACAGAAACAAGGAAGATGTGCCCCTTCCCCAATGAGTTTACAATCTAAATGTAGGGCCAACCCAATAAGTAAAGGTTATGAACAAAGGGGGAAGGGAAGGGCAGGACAAAGATTTACAATAATATCACATGCTTACTCAGTAAGACATATACACATTTCGATGGCTCTGTTAAAATAGTTTTTTGTTCATTAATTATTGTTATTAACTCACTTCTCATAAGTGAAATAGGGGTCAGAGGAGGATGGGACAGGGTGGGAGGTTGAAATAAGAAGAATAAAAAGGGTGAAATAGAGGGGCAGAAGGGAAAGGAGTTAATGTACAGGTTTTTATCTACTGTATATGTAATTCACTGTAGTTTTAAACATTGAAATGCAAAATGCATGTGTGCTTATGCTTCTTTTGAGGGTACTTTTTTATATTAGAGGCCCTGAAATTTAGAATTAATTCAACGAGGTCTATACAACCGTAACTTAAGTGCACCCAAGTGTAGAAATTGTTATAAAAGTATTCTTAATTCTTTCTGACAGGCTCCTCCCTTAAGACTGTGCCTGCTGGGCACACATGGAGCAGGTAAAACTATCTGTGGCCGATGGCTAGCTGACAAATTAGGAATTTTCCATATTCAGTTCGAAGAACGTCTACAGGAAATGATCATGCCCAAAACTGAAAAGAGAGTTGGACTTGAATTTGACGAGGAACCTGAGGAAGAGCAGATTGACATGGAAGCTCTCTTTCAGGAATTGGGAGACTCCTCTCAGACTAATACAGAAACTGAAAGTGAAAGTGCACATGAAAATGAAAGTAACAAAAATAAAGAGGTAATAATAGTAAGCAGTAGTATCCTCTTTTTAGAGGCCAAATACTCAGTATTGCCAACCCCAAGAACTACCATCCATTTCCTATTACTGTCTTGACTCCCTCCCCTCCTAATTTATTTCCTTTGATAAAAGAAGGCGGGGTGGTAAATAGTTTGAGAACCATTGATCTGTTTAATGCACCATGATTCACACTTGCTCAGAGAACTTATTACTTTTTAGGACTATAGTAAAGAACTTTATGTTAACTTCTGCTTTCTGAATTTAGCTGAACAGGGTGCAGAGGAATGCGTCAGGAGAAGCGGTCTTAGACAAAAATGTTCAGTTTTTAAAACTAATCAATTTTAGCTAATGGGCAGCTAACTAGTAACCAGAATCCTTCGGCTGCACAGTGTAATGTAACTTCCCTTCATTACATATTTCAAAATAAAGTTAAATGTTGAAAGCATTCATAATATTCCAAAAATGATCCTATAATGAGTGTTTCTATGCAAAAATGTATATCAATCATTCATATAAACAATAATGTCACAGTAAAAACAATAGGGGGTTGGTTTAGCTTTTTGAAAAAAGCAACACTTCCCTGATCTTCCCCCCTCCTCCTCCTCCCCCCCCCCCCAACTTCTCTGCCTGAGACTGGGCAGCACTCTCCCACTCTACCTCCCCCTGCTTTTGACTCCCCCTACATTCCCTTATATCCCCTAAATCTGCCTCCTGCTCCCCGCAGTGCCCTCTTTTCCCCTCCACTTTTGCTAGGAAGGCCATTCATCCAGTTTTGAACTGGACAGTCCTCTTTTGGGGTGATTTGTCCCCTGTCTGGCACTAAGACAACTGAAGTGTTTTGTCTAGTATTGGACAGCTGATGCCATTTTTAAGGGCACAACGCTTTGCCCCCTCCGTCATGACCTCACATGCATAGTGTACACAAATTCACGCAGATAGAGCAGGACGGTATGCTCTTAAAAATGGTGCTCCTTATGTGGTGTGACATTGCATGCACCGTGTGTATAAGGCAGGGGTGGGCAAACTACGGCTTGTGGGCCGGATCCGGCCCCTCAGGGCTTTGGATCCGGCCTGCAGGATTGCCCCTGTGGCACTGCGGGCCCCGCACCGCTCTCAGAAGCGGACGGCACCACTTTCCTGCGGCCCCTGGGCGGGAGGGCAGAGGGCTCCGTGCATTGCCCTTGCCTCCAGGCACCGCCCCCCCGCAGCTCCCATTGGCCGGGAACGGGGAACCATGGCCAATGGGAGCTTCGAGGGAGGTACTTGGAGGCGCGGCAAGGGACCGCAGCACTTCCTGGAGCAGCACGGGGCCGCTGCCACCCCAGAGCCGCTTTAGGTAAGAGGTGCCAGGCCGGAGCCCAAACCCCGCCTGCATCCCGCCCCCCAACTCCCTGCCCTAAGCCCCCTGCCTGCACCTTGCACCCCAACTCCCTTCCCTGAGCCCCCTCGTACACCCTGCACCCCTCCTGCCCTGAGCTCCCTGCTTCACCCTGCACCCCTGTGCACCCCAACCCCCTGCCCTGAGCCCCCCCCCGCAGTCCGCACCCCTCCTGCACCCCTGCCCTGAGCCCCCTGAACTATGCACCCCTCCTGCACCCTAACCCCCTTCCCTGAGCCCCTTCATACACCTCTCCTCTGCCCCAATCCCTTGCCCTGAGCCCCTTCCTGCACACCACACCCACTCCCACACCCCACACTCCCTCCCGCACCCCAATCCCCTGCCCCGGCCCTGCATACAATTTCCCCACCCAGATGTGGCCCTTGGCCCAAAAAGTTTGCCCACTCCTGGTATAAGGTCACATCAGTGGGGTGGAGCAGCACACTCTTAAAAATGGCATCCCCTATGTGATGTGACTTTACATGCGCCATGTAAGTGAGGTCATGCCGGCAGGGGCGAGGTCACGCTTTTCCCAGAAGTACGAGAATATCTGGTATTCAGGGAATACATGAGTGGCCATCCTATACTTTTCAGTGTCTCTACTGCCCTCATTGTCTCTGGTTCCAGTGTAGCCCTCTGAACCATAGAGTGACATTCTGTTGCCTTTGAGCATGTGTGATGGGGTTTACAGATACCATACTAAGGTTAAAGGAATGGTGAAGCAGTATTGGTTCAAGAAAGCCCAGCCCCTCAGCAGCTGCCAGGCATGCTCCCTATGGAGGACCTGCTTAAAAGAGAGGTCTGGTAGGGGGGAACATGGAGGAGAGCCTGGCTGCAAGAAGGCAGACAGGCTGCAGCCGCTGACCAGAGCCATTTACAGGGGAAGGACCAGGACTGTGAGTAAAACTCAGCTGGTTTCCTCCTTACCCGTTAACAATGTAAAGTATAATGAAAACTCTTCAAGCCACAGTTCGGTATTATGCATCAAGTATAATTCATGGAGTTTATTTGGTACCTAACATGAAATAAATCTTTACTAACTCCCCACCATCCTTCCAGCTAAGGAGGTCTAGATGGTAATCTCTTCAGAGCATGTCAGCATTATCCCTTTAATTAGCTAGAGAGGTAGTTGTAGTGGAAGGCACCTTTCTTCTTCGAGGCATGACCCTATGGATACTCCACTTTAGGTGTCTTGTATCAGAGGGGTAGCCGTGTTAGTCTGGATCTGTAAAAAGCAACAAAGAGTCCTGTGGCACCTTAAAGACTAACAGATGT